ATATATATATATATATATATATATATATATATATATATATATATATACGTATGACTACGTCTAAAATTAATAACCGATTAAATAGAAAAGCGAACTCCGAGCTCATGTAGAAAATTTAAAGCCGAATGAATTCTGAACACGACGGTCTGTACACGTGCGAAGGATGCATTAAAGTCAGGTCGTTATATCACAGGAAAAATCTCGATGGTCGGGATAATTTATAAAGCCGAAGTCGTCGAAGCGAGTTTACTCGCGCGCGCGATTTCTCTCTTATTAATCTCCGTCATTTACACCTTGGAATTTAGAGATTCAGTGAAGTTGATTGCTCAACTCTCGTACTTATAGCCCGAGTGGCGACGCGCGGACGTGCGGTGCCGGTCATCCGGGACGATCTATCTGCCGATCGACGTATTTCCCTCTCGGTAGATCAGATCCAGCGCGGACCGCGGAAGAGGATTTCTGCGCGACCGATTCCATAACGACCGATTACGCCCCGTTCGGCATCCGTCGAGCTTCCTTACGCGTCATAATCCCATTCATCGTTCGTTACGACATCGGCTGGACGGGCAAGCGAGGAACGAGCATCGTCAAGAAATCGTCGGACTTTGCGGAATCTTTGCAGCCGCACGCGTGTGTTTTCAGACTTCAAAAAAAAAAAAATACACGTCACAGAAAATCGGAAATATATAAATGTATAACTGTTAATTCTCGATTATCTAAACAAATACATCCGTATCTGGATATTAATTCCGGAGCTTTACGTCGAAAATTTTTTATTTTTTTGAATTATCTTCGCGCTCGCGATATTCATTTTCTGACTTTCGAAAAGCCGCAGAAAGCCCCGAAAGTGGTTTTTCTCTCGAAACGTCGTTACTCGCACGCGCGCTTCTTGTGAAATTACAATATTCTATAATATTCCACGCGGAATAATCGTAATCGGTAATGTTTCTTTTTGTTCTTCGTGCGGTTATTCATGCGTTTCAAATAGCTCGTAGCGTCGCGTAGCGACTGCGATTTTCCTCAGGAGTCACGGCCGGTGGATGATTTTTGCGTGTTATCCGAGGGACCAAGAACGGAGTTTGAGAGGACAACGACGAGCTGAACGCGGAGCCTTGAACAAGAGAACGATCGATCGGTCGATCGATTGATTTTTTCGTCACGGCGTCTGGTTGCATCGCTATTGCCCTGTTACAGGTGGAAGCGATTCTTTGCTCTGACCAGAGGCTTCTCAGAAATTCTCTCCAGTCATCGAGACGAATTCCATCGAAACGCGGGTCGGACGATTAATGGCTTTATGCCCGTTCCTTAAAATCTCCGCCGCGTCACAGATTAATTCGCTTTTTTCCTAGTCGGCTTCGAAATCGAACCGTGTCATCGGATTTTCATCATTCGACGAATGGTTCGCGCAAACCCACGAGTTCCTCTCTTCTCCGAAGCTTCCGTTTGTGCACGCGGGCTAATGCAGAGTGCATTGCTTTGCTTTGCTTTGCTTTGCCTTGCCACGTGAATTATTGGGGCATACGATCAGAGCGTGTGTTTCTCGTCTAAATATTCGCCTATTCGCGAACTGTTTGTTGATTATTCGGGAAACTATATCGCGATCTCAAAGCAGCTGCGGGCGATTGCAATTTGAAACGTAGCAGCGTTTGACAAGCGATAAAAAGATAACAATAAATAACAATCGGTAATGTCGCGGTAATTATAAGATTTCTCGAATTGATTCCAACGTGCAAATTCACGCGCGTTAAAGTAATTTACGACCGCACGCGCACGACAAAATACAGCATAAAAGTAAACTCCGCTTGTAGCCGTCGAGGTTATAAAGCTCGAGGCGGAGGACGCGAGACGTTCGCAACGTGTTCGCCCTCGTGGGAGACGAAAAGATGGAAAAGGGACATCGGCCAGGCTATGCCGGGACGTGGCGGAGAATAAAACGGAGATGGACGTGTTACACGTGAAACAGCGGGTCATAAAAAATCCGAAGCGCAGGTATAAACCGGCGATCTACAAGTCCGCGCGCGAGGCCGATCCTAATCTCGCGCTCGCTACGTCGCTCTATGGGGGGAGGGGGGAGAGAGAGGGGGGGGAGGAGAGAATCCATGGAGAACCAAAAAGATACCGACGAGAGGGAAGAACGGCGGATCGGGGGCCGCCAAATTGCTGAGATTCGTTAGAAAATCGCCGGTATGCGATGCGTCACGCACAAAAAGGGGAGAAGGAACATTAGAGCTTCGGAGGAATTTCTAAAGCTTACACGGCATCGCGCTCGCAGCGTTGAAATCTCTCAACCCTCTTGCGTTTTTGGTTTCCTTTCTCTCAGCTCTCGTTCGTGAGACTCGCATCGACCTTATCGTTACTGCACAGGGATGATCCGGAAGATTCCCCCCCCTTGGACGTACTTGTTCGTGTTTCTCGTATTTCGCTCGTATTTCCTCCGCTATCATTTTTGGACACCATAAATGCCACGCCGTTGCCGCTGCTGGTTGCCTCCGGGCTATTTCACTTTTGATTCATGCTATACATCGTCATTTTTATTTTCGACGCCGTTCTACGAGACATATTCGTCGCAGGTGAATAAAAAGAGGCGGAAACGCCGTTCCGCTGTGTGTCTTGCGAGATAATTAATAGGAGGAGAGCTCGGCTCATTCGTTCGCCCATAAACTGAAGGTCGTGCGAGAGGAGATGGAGAGGATTGAACGACGCATAAATTCACGTAGCGTCGCCGCGTTGCGTTTCACGCACACTTGCGCGAGGATTTCGCGAATCTCATGATCACACGCGGCTCGATTTAATGATCTCAGTAATTGAATAAATATGGAAGACGATTAGTCGCGGCGTTATTCGAGACGCGCTTTAATGAGCCGCCGTCTAAATCACCGTGCTCGACTTACTGCAAATTTAATCTAGAGTTAATCGACATCTAATTTAAATATTCGCCTCGCGTAACTAACACACTTACGTTTCTCATCAGTCGCACCCATCAGACGCTCGATCTAACTTCGCGTTAATTCACAATATTCGGTACTTCGTCCGATCTAATGAAATTCGCCGAAGTACGATAACTTGGAAACATGCGCCTTGAGAGATGCAGCTATACAACTTTTTTTTTTCTTTTAATAACTAATGATAAATCAGAATTTATTGCGTTTAACTCAAAATGAATGCGCGGAATTTGAAACCGGAGAAATCGGATAGAAAGAAAAATGGAACGCAGTGGTATTACATTAGAAAGTGATATTGCCGCGGTTTTATTTTTTCTTGAATCTGGCTTTTTTTGCCGCCACCACGGTGTTGGGTAACTTTGGGTTAGACTGATTTTTGTGTTTCTTGCTTTCGACGTGTTGGGCAAACGTGGTCTCCGAGTTCAACGACAGGTTGCACGGCGCGCAATAATACTGCCCTATAAAACAATAAGCCATTGTGAAACGATTTCTCTTTTTTTAAATCCTCGCGTAACGATTTCTTACCTGATGGTGTCCGGTAAATAGAATAATCTATAGGTTCCGAGGCGCTGGACGTGTTCTCGTTTTCGGTAACTGGAACAGAATGCGAAAAGTCAGTAGTCAGTAGTAGTCAACGTAACACGTTGTATATAAGTCATAATTTATCTTGCTTACGGATACTACCGGGTTCAGGCACGGGAAGTCCGTTGAGCCTGAGCATCCTGAGATGTCGGGCTCCACGTTTGTGTGTTTCCAGCTGATCCTGCCGATTAGCCGAAACTCCGCATAAGTCACAGCGCAGCGGCGTAGGATACGGCGATGAAGTATACATCGGTGGTACCGCGGCCGGATTCGGCACCGCAGGTATACCGTCAGGTGCAATCGGTGCCACAGTCGGGGCGGATTGCGCGTCCGTCTGGAAGGTCATACCAATTCCGAAACGGCCCGTCGAGTCCACCTGATTGTACTGATTTTGATTCTGTGACTTTTTTGATGGCCTGTAGGGACGGCAACGATCTCATTATTGTCATGACAGACACGATCGAACTCGATCGTTACGTTCGCTATGTGTGCTATTGAATAGTTAAATTAATTATTAAGTTACCGGATCGTTAGTGTAACTATTTTTAGAAGGGTCGAATACAGGTCGTACCTTGCACGAGGCCCACCGTTCGCCGCCCTAATGTGCTTTTTGCCCGCGTAGTGTTGCGTGGCATCTGTTTGCGACGTAAACCACGTTTTGCATATCTAGCAATGTAGATCGTATGCGAGGGTACATTAATATGCGATTTATGTATGTAAATACATAACTGTAGGCGAAACATTGTAGGCCTCTTACATCACAGTAGTTTTGCCAGTCGTTATTGGTCGTACTGCTCACTTGGCCATCTTCCGTTTTCTGTTTTTTAACGCTCTGATTGAGAAACATCGATACTTTTTTCTGATGTGGCTTGCCGTCATAGTGCAATTTCGCTTGTAACGTGGAGTTCATCTGCAAAGTATGATATTGCTGCGTCGATACTCGTAACTTTTTTGACATGAGATCTACGATTGCAGAATTATTCTCAGAATAAAACTAGATTTAAACGAAGAGAGAGATCTCTAAATATCTTGATTATGATTAGCCGGGCCTTACAACTGCATTGCACAGATCACATTTGAGCGGTTTCATCAGGGCCGACAGTTCTCTCTGCGCGCTCGCCACTTTCTCTACATAAAAAAAATAAATATAAGAATTAATATTTAGAAATGTATAATAACAATTCGTTCTCCATTATTATCTCTCAATTTTAAGATTTATGGTGCCATTTATGTGTGTGAACTAGATACATTTTCAAAAACGCATTTCCTTAATTACCTGCATCTTGTGCTGGATCGATGAATTCATTTTTACGCTTATAGAAATTCTTGTTCTTATTCTTTCCTATAACTGAGGTCACCGCGGGAGATGCTAGTGCCGCAGTAGCTGCACCCTTAAAAGTCGGATCGTACCATTGAGTATAAAGATCCGAAGTATCGCTGTCGGTGGGTATCCACCAGGGGGTCGGGGTTGCTGACTGTCCGGGTGTTTGCGGTTGCATCGTTGGATGCAGCATGTATGGATTTGACGGCACCGAATTCGGGAACGGATTTAGGGTCGGAGAAACCCCATCGGCGACAATCGCTACCGTCGCGGTAGTCATTACGTTCTCGTTCGTTGCCGTCGGTCGTTGCTGTTGCATCGTTGTGGATTGTGCATCGTCGTCCGAAGATATGCTCCCCGAAGCTGGCGGTGGCGGTGGCGGGGGTGGCGGCGGCGGTGGCGGTGGGGGTGGCGGAGGCGGTGGTAGGAAGCATTCGAGTCCTGTGAGGTAAACGAAAAATTTCTAGTCATCTCCGTGCTGTCCTTTCTTGTGAAAGGAAAAAGGATTCTCGACCAGAATATCATATTTTTCTCATTTTCAGACATGCAGGAATCGAAAGTTGTAAATCATATGACACCCCGTGGTTTTACTATGGTAATTTGTCGTTCTATTGTGAAAAAAAAAGGTTTTCAAATTTACGATACGGTGAGATAATTATGCAGCGATATTCGTATTATTTATGTCTATTTCTGTCAATTTAGACCGTTTTCTGAAAAGCTTAATAATAAAATACAATAAGGTGATGAACAAAAATGGATCGAAGAAAATTTCTTTAACTTTTCTCAAGTGCGTCGAGTAACAAGTTGATTAGTATATTTCGACCTGCAATGGCATATTTTACCGGCGAGTCGAGTATCTCCGATCCGCCGTAGCGAAATTTCATAGCGTCGCGATCTACGTCAAGATTTACGATCGCGATAACGATCGCGAGGAAGCAAGATTTGCTTTCGAGGCAGAAACGTACGGATGAATCGAGCGGCGTCGTTTCAAACGAGATGCCTATCGTGCTCTTATAATTTACAGAAGAGTCGTATTTAATTGCACGCGCGCACGCAAATTTATGCGTGGCGTTAATTCGCGCCGATCGATCGATATAAAGATCCGCGACATTACGCAATAATACATCTCTCGCGACTCAGGACAGCGGCATGTATTTAGCTTATCACACGGCTGCGCCGCAATGCCGACGTATAATTTATTTCAGCACCACCGTGCTGTATATACACTCTTAATCTTGCATCGTATTCGAGCTCTAAATTCGAGGTACTTTTTTTTTTAATTGGCAAAAATACCTTACATTTAAAGGTATTGAGCGATATAAAGTTAAGAGTACAACCGTTCTCTCTGTATTTCTGGCATTGTTCGCAATGGCTCCCCTCCCCCTGCCCCCTGTGCGGGGGAAACTTATATATACAAATGTACACAAACGAAAAATGTTGCCTCACTGTGCTTATTTCATTTTCGAATATTACGCTTTAAGGGAATAAACATGATTTTTCGTTTATTCTGTACTTTAGTATTTTTTTTCCCCCTAAAAAAATGTAAAATTTTTTGATATATTTTTTCAAATATTTTTTATTAATTTCAGATGTAAAATATTACCGTGATAGTAAAATAGCAATTCATTTGCGTTTTATAAAAGCACGTTTACATTCAAAGATTCTTATTTTCTATTTTCTAACAGATATTCTGTGATACTCCTGTGATATTCTGTAATTCTTTTTATTCATTTTTACAAATATTTATTGATTTCAAGTATTATATATTACTGTGACTATAAAAATAACAATTCGTTCGCGTTTCATGCGAATATTTGAATTTACATTCAAATATTATTTTTATTTTCTAAATACTTCGTGATATTCCTTAGTCATTTTTTTATGTACATTCCCAAATATTAATTTTTATTAAATCGTAATCATAAAATAGCGATTCGTTTGGATTTAGTGAAAGTACGTTCATTTGTTTCATTCAAACATCGTCCTTTTTTACACAAAGATATTTCGTGATACTACGTGATTTTTTTTTATATACATTTCGAAATATTTTACATTCAAATATTTTTATTTCTTATAAAAAGATACTCTGTGATTTTTTTATATACATTCCCAAATATTAATTTCAAAATATTACCGTGACGTAGAACGGCAATTCGTTTGCTTTTTATGGGAGTACGTTGACATTCGAATACCCTCAGATTTTACGCAAAGAGACATTCCGTGCTTTTTTTTTAATATACATCTTCAAATATTCGTTATATTAATTTCAAGTGTAAAATATTACCGTAAAATAGCAATTCATGAGTATGTTTACATATAGATACCTTCGTTTTTTTTTTTTTTTTTTATATACAAAAGGATATTCCGACCGTTAATATCGACTGACCTTTTTTTTCCTTGTGACCGCGCACGGCCGTAAATATCGCGTGTTAAAACATCGATCGGAATAGATCGCAGAATAGATCTGAGATAACATAACGCGGCGTTATATACGCATGCACATTGCGTGATCCAAATACTCTTTGACGTGCGGTGCTCGCAATTTATTCGTCAATGTTACACATATACGTAATAATCGTCTCATCCGGCGAGTCGCGTCCGACTTCAGAGAGAAAGAGAGAGTATATATATATATATATATATATATATGTATATACATATATATATACATACATACATACATACATACATACATATATATTTCTCAAATATAATTCTGGATTATACAAAAGATCACGCACACTAACCGAAATAATCTCCCAGATGACATTCCGGGAGTCGACAGAACGTCCCTTAACGGGACTGTATTTATTTTCCTTTCTTTTCTTTCACCGTTCTGTCGTCACAGGTAATACGCTGTTGCGAAGCGGACGGGACGAATCGGAGCGGGAGCGGGAGTAAAAAAAGGAGCATTCCCCAGGAGACGACTTACCCGGCACTTCTGGATTCTCTATGACCTTTACGGTGGACATTTCCCTCGTGCTACGAAGGCTCTACTCAAACGATATATTCCGATTTCGACTTCCGCCGTGTTTCACGTCGACGCCGCGACTTCGCCGTGTTTCCCGCGCGTGCCGCGAGCTCGTCCTCCTCCTCGTCGTCGTTGTCGTCGACGTCGTTGTCGTCGTCGTCGTCGCCGTCTCGCATTCGACACCGCTTCGCGTCACGTAACGGCGCGCGACGTCGTACCGCCACTCGCACGTCGGCATCGACTGTCGCTTGTCCGTGTGCCGGAGCGGATGAGCCTGAGGCTTATTGTGAGGTTAATTGATTCGGATTTGACACAAACCGCGAGCCGACGACATTATGCGAACGGGCGCGTGATATCGATCCGTGGCGCAAGATGGCTGCACGGATCACGCAGCTCGTGCACGCCGCGCGGAACGCGGCCGTCGCTGCCGCGTGCGAACGTGCGGAGGACGTCGCTTGTCGCCCATCGACCAGGGGTCCGTCACGATGGAAGACGAGAATAAATTACTTCTGGGTCTTGAGGAGAAGGTCGCCAGCGGCCGCGGCATGGTCGAACGGTTGAAACTCATGGAGAAGATTGACGGGGTGGACAAACTGATACGGAAGATTCAGCAAGAGATAAAGTTTCTGGAAAAGGCAAGAGCTATAACCTTCGGGAACTCACGGCGGCTTATATTAATGTATTTTGAAACGTTTTATCGTGATAAGTGTTTGATTGTGATAAAAGAGAAGTGTCTGTGATTTAGAATGTGTTTACTTTTGTTGATTGATTCCATTAAAGTCCGAGAATTTTAAAAGTTTTAAATTCGGCTCATATCGATCCGAAGTGAGCATAATTAAAATCCACGCGAGTTCCTGAGAGTTCCTTTAAATTTTGATTTTACGCAGATCTGTTTGATAGAAATTTAGAGATGAACAAAGTTTTAAATTGCGAGTTTATTCTTTCCTGTCTAATGAAAATAGATGTGCTTTTTAACAAAAATATAAATTAACACAACTCTAATTATCATTATTTGTTTTTGATTAGTATTTCATGAAAACAAAGCTAGTAGATAATATTAATTATACTTGCTGGAAAATATTTAAAATGTCGAATTAGATTGATAAGTCATTGTTTCTAAATTTAGGTGCAATGTATGGGAAATTTGAAGAAGAAACATCTAGAGAGTTCGAATTTGACTCATCTTGATGCAGTGGTAACTCGACTGTCCTGTGCAAAGAATCCTGTCAATGTGATGAGACCCTTCAAGTATCAAAAATCACGTTTAGAGGTTGATATAGTATGTAACAATGGTGCTTCATGGGTGAAGGTTATAGCGAGAAACGCCAGAGCACTGACTCTGATATCTCTTGGCAATGGAGAATATGGACAGAAATCTATTTTAGACCAAGCCAATTCGTACCTTATGTGCAGTAAGTGTCATCTATACCACTATAGGCCGCCAGATGTGATTTTTCATTTTGCTTGCGGCGTGGAAGTTCCACTTGCCTTGCAATTGGAGCAAATGGGTATAATAGTGGAAGGAGATCGGATAGATACAGATGACGAGAACTTGAACAGTCAGTATATCTGATAAATATTTTTAAAAAATGTATTGCATGAAAATAATATGTGTTTGTTATCTGTTTTTTGGAGATAGAACAAGGTGAACTGGATTTCTTCACAGATTCTGCAAATGATTCCGAAGAGGATTTGGATATGGACCTGCAATCGATAAATACGTCTGCATTATCAACGGAAATCAAACTTCTGAATCTAGACGTATCGACACTATTGGCTTATGTTACAAATATGTCTAATGGCTATAACAATTTTGTCTATCGGGAGCCATTACTTACGAAACAAGCAGAGATGGAAAGAATACGGCCTATAAAACCAATTCTAGAAAATTTATTTCGAGACAAGGATCTTATGATTTGTCAGACGGCGTATAACAATTTTACGAATATCATTGATACTATCGGTGGTCCGAAAGAGACGCAGCGTGCTCAAGAATTGTTGAAGAAAGTCCATATTGTCGACGATGTGACCACTGGACGAATCATGGAACTGCGCTTAGGCGGTAAAATTAAAGATCGATCGCGATTGATTTTCTCAACGGGCGAAAATATGAAAAGCATCACTGTTTCCGCTAATGAAGGATTCGTAAGAGCGGCGCGTATGCAGGTACATATTCGTCATAATTTGATTTGCTTTACAATTCTGAGTTAACATTATATAGACATTATTTTATTTTTTCAGGGTATCGAATGTACAGTTTTCCTACACGAACCAAGGTCTCTGTCGGAAAGCAAAGAAGGTAATGCAACCACTATACATTATACCATACAATCACACACACCACATACTACCACAAGTATAGAGCAATCTTGATATTGTTTAGAACATTTAGGCAATTGCAAAGAAAATATATTCTGGTATTAGGCATTTATATTGTTAATTTATTATATCAACCTATATATATTACATGAAACGTTTATACATTTTGCTGAGAAAAAGAAGCTACTGTATTTTATCGTCATTGATTGTCTAAATATTGAATTCGTTGAATTGAAGCTTTAGATCTTTTTGAAATTCTATAAAATGTAAAATATAGTTATTGTATGAAGGATGATATGTGTAAGATAAAAATGTTTTGAAATATTTGTCATTACCATCAATAAATTTGTTGAAATGGGGATTCCTTTCTTTGGCCATTTGTATGTATTCTTTACTCTTTTCTTTGTTTCGAAGATGCATATAACATTTGGCGCTATTCAAGAGAGCTTTTAAATTCGAGTTATTCACTTTTAACGCCCATTCGCAGTCATCTAAGGCCTTCTCGAATAACTTGAGGTGCATGTATGATAATGCACGATTATTCCACAATACGGACGAGTCTTTACGTTGTTCCAATGCTTTACTGTAATAAGTCACGGCCTTTTCATAATCGCCTTCTTTAAACGCACCGTTTGCGATTCTCTTCAACGTTTCCGCTCGCTCGTTTCTAATTTTGCGATCTTCAGCTCGTTTTTTAGCATCGTTTTCTATACTCTTCATAAATGTCTCTGTTTAGATAAATCATATCAAGTTTTAACGTATACATATCTAATTGCAAAATGATAGTGGAACGTGTAAATAAATAAACTACCTCGCGACATTTTATTCGGATCATCGGAGGAATTATTTTCCTTTAACGGATATTTATTAATTACTGACCGATCGGTTTTAATTTTTATCTCTCCGTCTTTATGAATTTCTTTCGGGACGTCTGCTAAAATTTCATCAGCTAACTTTTTCCCACGTTCTTGTTCCTTTGGATCAGTAGATGTCAACTGCTTCATGATTTTTTCTTGAACAAGGAATTTTATTGATAGATATAAATTTTTATTATAATCGAATGTTATACTCACCTACTTCAGTAACGCGGTGCATGAAATTTTGAAACTCTTCTTCGGTTACATTTCGATCAGGGTTCAATTTATTAACAATATGATTTGCCTGTTTTACTTTATCACAATTTGCTTTATTCTTTACACTTGTATCCATTTTTTTATGTAAAATTATAAACAATTGCAAGAAAAAACCTTTTGTATGCTGTAAGAAGCACCGAGCGATTGCTGCCAAGGAAACTACCACACAATCATGTTGCTATGGTTTGTTACACTATGTATATGTATATATCTCTACTATACATAACCAATATCAATATATATATTAAATTACCATATAAATATGACATACATTAAAGAATCATTTTAATTGTACAGGTAGATTTTAAAACGAGTTATAAGTTGCATAGCTTTATTATGAAAACAGTAAGATCACGTAACACAAATGTCGAGGAAAGTATTAATTTGAGAGTTTGAATGTACGTGTATCAAAGTGATCAAAGTGTATCGTATATAGAGAGAAACATGCAGTGAGATTTCGCATAGTTTCTTTTACCAGTTTATAAAATTTTAGAATGGTCACACACACATTAACTACTCGGATCCTTTCTGGCAGGGAATTCTGTATGAGGATGAGCGTTCTTATTTATAGGATGCATTACTATCTGAGAAAACAATTGTGGCGTGGAGGTTTTGCTGCTTCCCGAATTTTCATTATCCGCGTCGTCAACTTCCAATGGGTCCATGTCAACATCTTCTTCTACATCAGAAGGTATTTCAACTTCATCCTTTATGTAAACCATGTTTAAACCATTATCTTCGCTGGGATCTTTAATTTTTCGTCTGTCCAATGGCTCATTTGTTCTATTATCTGGTACAGAAGGGACTGACTTCCCCGCTGTGATCTCTACCTCATCCATAATACAACGCATTTTCTTAAAGGATAACGGCTTACTTGTTATCGAGGATAATATACTTGGCCAACTAATCTCGGGACTCGGTTGAAATTCCTTTCTCTTTCGTCGTACGGGAGATGTCCTTCGTAATCCTCTGCTTGTACTTGGCTCGTTAATGTCTATAATACTGATACCGGAATTGCTGGTCTCTAGCCGTTGACATAATTCGCTTATGTTAATCTCTTCGTTCTTCGGTGTATCCTGAGGAACTTTGGCTGTCGTTTTGTAAGGATTTATTTTCGGAATGAATTTGGTCTGTAGGCCGTGCACGGTCGGTTTGCTCTGTTTCGCGGCTGCTTCGTGTTCAATGTTTCTACCTGATGAACTCCTGGCTTCCTCCAGCCTCAATCGCGATACCGTGGTGGTTCTTTTGGATGCGTCGCAGTGTTCTTTCATGGTGTTGTTGGAGCCCTCCCCAGAGAGCAACGAGGGCGGAATCTGTCGTAGCCCGGAGACCTCGAGAACGTCGGCAAGCTTCAGCAATCTTCTAACCTCACTCTGGACTACCTGTATCTCGCCGCAATACATGAAGTTCACGAGGGTCTTGAGATCGTCCGCCTCGACGTCGTGGAGGACGATCATCGGGTGCGGATGGTCGTAGGCGAGGAGCAATCGGCGAAAAAACGAGCTTGTGTTGGCTAGTACCATTTTGTGACATTTGAGAATCGTATTATCCTTACACACCAGAGAAACGTCGACGAACTGCTGTTTCTCGTAACAGGTGTCGAGCGAGCCCACCATGTGCGACGGGAAGCTCTGCCACCTAAAACTCAGCACAGAATCCTCCTTCATCGTGGTGCTTTTAAGTCAACTCTTCGTGTCAGGGACTCGACGATTAGGCGACGCGAAGCACTCAGTTCGCGGCGTTTCTAACAACAGCACTCGCCATGACACACACGTGCCGCTGTTGTCGCGTCGTGAAGCCATCCAATGATGGCAGATGGAGGAATGAAATCTGCGCACGCGCATCTATACGATCACGTGACGAGTCCAGCGTTGGCGCAACGTGAGACGTTTCGTCTGTGCTCGAAAATTCACTGCTTCAAAATTCAATACTGAAAATCTATAATTCACGTGACGTATTCTATATATCATCAGGATTCACAATAAATTTTGGAACTTTCGGCCTTTATGTCCGATGTAACTTTAATCTCAGTTTAACTTGCTCTTTATTTTTATTGCTAAAAATAAAGAACATTAAGCAGAGATTAACAGATATTGGTAAAAATGGATGTTATAGCGTTTTTGACTGCAGTGGATTAATATATAATTCAATCCAAGATCAATTAATGGATACGTTATAAATTTGATTTAAAATGCGTAGAGATGAAAAATTTATAAAATATTAATTTATTAATAATTTGTCAAAATTTATCTCCTCGCGTTTCTATTATACGCTTTCAAATATTTTTAAAAATGTGTTTTTACTTAACGATGATAAGATGAATATACAATACAAATATTTGCTGCACTCATTGTAGCGAAATATTAATATTAAATATAATAACTCGTGAAATTAAACCTTGCTCCTATACAAACTTAACACTAGAAGGTAATAATTAATTATTTAATTTGGAGTATTAAGAGCAACGAGCAATAGTATTTTTAATCAAAATAAATAATTTCAAAATAAGAATTATTTTAGTTGTATTTAGTATCAATTAATTGGGTTTCTCTCTAAGAGAAGAGTGGAATTCTTGAAAGCGCGAGTTTTTCGAGTTTGAAATTCGCGCGAGATCTCGAAGCCGCTCGGTTCTCGAGATATCGAGATCTTGAGAGCGCGATCGATAGCGAGCGCCGAGCGCGACTTCTCGACGATTCGCCAATTGCCTTCGATAATTGCAAATGGTCGTTTAATAACAGATGATTGAACGCGTTGCGCGGCGCGCGGCACAGCATTTATCTGTCAAAAGCGGTGGCGGCCGGCCGACGAACGTTGTGATGCGCCGCCGGCTGACGCGCGTCCGTTGAGCGTTGAACCGGCGAGGCGTGGACCCGCGGGCGTCCCGAAGGCGAGGCTGTTTTCGCGACTCGACGACGACGAGACGGCGGGCGACGACGACGACGACACCGACGGCGGCGGGCGACGACGCGCGGCGGGAGCGAGGGAGCGACAGAGAGGGCGAGAACGCGCCAGCGTGCGGAGCGGGCGACCTTTGAAATAACCGACGCGTACGTTTATTATTATGCGATATCGCGGGTCGCGCGCGGCTTGACGGCTCGAGGCTTCAAGGTAGACGACGGGAAGAAAGCTAAGGGAGAAAAATGCGGTGCACGCGAACCGACGTTTTCTGCTACCTCATCGTGGCGATTCTCGCCGTACTGTCGGCGCTCGGTCGTGCAGGTGAGTACACGCACGTTCGCCTTGTGTTCCTCGTGTAATAATAATCCATAGGCACGAAACACGGACGGAAAGAAAGAGGAAGAGAGGAAAGGAGAAAGAGAGAGAGAGAGAGAAAGAGCGTTCTGCCAGGCCCGCTGTCTGGCTGGTAAATTAAAGTCCGAGCGGTCGCGAAATTGGTTCGTCCGAGCGAGCTGTGTCGTAGTCACCCCAGCTTAGCTACAATGGTCTTCTTCCGTTCTTTCTCTCTTTCTCTCCCTCTCTCTATCTTTCTTTGCGTGTCTTTTTCTCTCTCTCTCTCTCTCTCTCTCCTCCCTCTTCTCGTCCCCTTCGATTCTTCTCGAAATCTCGGCTTTGAGAGAGAACACCCTCGATCGCTACGCGGAATCGACCGGATCAACCCGCAACACGTGTTACGACGCTCTCGTGTGCGTTCTTGCATTTCCGACGATTCCACATCGAAAACAGAGAGCGCCGAGGACCCGGCATCGTGTCCCCGTATATGCCTAGTAATAGTTACGATGTTATTTTTGTACACGTTCGCTTTATACGCCGTAATTATGCGTCACAGTCTTTGCGCGCGAGATGTGCCTTAACGCATTTTCGTAGAGTTGTAGGAAATACGAGCGGCGATAATTTAGCAATATCGCGCTTTACAATCTATTCGCATTATGCGCCATGTGATAAAAATGCAAATAATCGCCGTGACGATATTGCCAAGGATAGAACTGAACGGAAAAGCGAGAACGGAACGTGTGTTGCTCCGAAAAACGGAGCATGCTATCGAAAATTTCTTTCTTGAATATTTTTGAGATATGCCGACAAATAATATAAATTGATTTTTTTATAGTTGAACTATATAGTGAACATATTAATGTATTTGTCAAAAGTATATTTGATAGCGAAAACACTAATATTTAGTATAAAAGTACTTGGTAGTATACTAGTACTTGGTGTTTAAAATTATAGTATTTTATTGGTATATATTTAGTACTACACAGTTTTAATATTTTACTGTTATTTAATACTTAAAAGTATATTAATACGCTTAAAATAAAATGGATATATATTTGACGAAAATGAGAAAAAAGATTTCAGTACGCTCTAATATAGTAATAAAGAACAGGCCTCGCTTTGCGTTAGCTCTGCGATCAAATAAAAAATGCGTATCTCACGTTTCAACCTCTCTTCAAGTATCTTTCTTCGTGTTTGTCTGCTGATTTATCGTTTTTTTGTATTTTTATATTACGTTCACAATTTATTACGAAAGCGAACACTTAGTTGCAATTTTTTCCCGGATATTTAGAATATCGAAGCGCGAGGAATTCATTTCCGATAATATATATTATCTTCTAAAGAGACTGTGGTTTTTTTTTATCTCGTCACGCATTTTTGATTCGTACTTCCTTTTTCTTTGCGTGACATAACAAATCATCGATAGCTTCGAGGTAGAAATCGGACTGTGACGCAATTAACGCGTAAGTTTACGTCGTGATATTGAATTGCATGCTCGTCTTGTTCCTAATTATGTTTCTGTACCGTATATTTTTATCTCGTACATTCGTTATATCATATATGTGACACATGATATATTTATAGAGACATGATGATACATTTATCATTTATTTCACATTTGTCATCATAAAATTTTCTATTTGGTGAAATTCGTGGCATTTTTTTTATTATTGTCAATGTTTTTTATAAATTCCTCATGGAGTTGAAACGTCATATTTTGCATTCTTTCTTCTTTAATATATCCGGAGATCGTAACTTGACAATGATGAAATATCGTTCAAAAAGTATTTTTATCACGATATGGAAAAACCAACAAAGATTTATCCGCCACGTGATCTCACTGGAACAGCCGCAATCGGCTTCGTTGCGGTTGACGTTTGTCATTTCTTCATCCATCCCGGCTGTTTTTCTTGACCTCGCGTCGGCTGTAGCGCGGCGAGCCGAAAACGAGACAGCTCGACGATGTTGCGAGCCCATGCACGCGTTTCACATTACACACTGCGGCCTCGGTATTAATTTAAATAACCGGAAGGTTATATAAGTGCGCGCGCGCGCGCGCGCGAAGAATTCGTCGAAAAGAAAACCGGGCGGAACGGAATTCCGCAGCGCGAATTCCGCAGCGTATTTTAAGACATCCTCCGTGGGCGAGGAAACGCGCGGTTTCCTCCGCCTACTCCGTTTCCTACTTTCATTACACGCGTTTGTTTATTTCAATTACACGCACGTGGCCGCCCCGCCCGCGTGTACGCGAATAATCGAAAATAATATTCGTTGATAACGAAACGTCTCTTCGCATGAGAACCGTGCGGAGTGAAAATAAATTTCGCGCTTTACGTTCCCCCCGCGTGTTCTTTCGCACCTTCCCCCCCCCCCCCCCGAAACCAATTTCCCTGAAAGGATATCCTGTGTGTAAGACGCCGCTTCTCGGGAAATCCCAAGTGAGGACTTGGCTGTCTTATGCGCCGGGTATTCACGGTTCGTATATAATAAACGAGACGAGCCTGCGAGAGATACTGTGTTACGCACGCACGTGAAATCCTTCGGTGAATTCGCGTTTACGTGGCGAAACTCGGTCGCACGAAATTGGATAGTCGACGCGGAATTGAGCGGAGACACGCGAAGAGTATATTTCTGCAGCTTTCTTTTTAAGTAACCTTTAGTTTTATGGGTATCATCGTAAATGCGGACTTTAACTTTTCACTCTGAAAAATATTAAATCCGCCTTAACTACGTTTGTGCGTTCTATCTATTTTTTATCATAGTTTTCATATATATATATATATATATATTATTTTTATTTCCACCGTATCGATATTATTTAAAAATCACGATAGCAGCGAGATACGATTTCCTATCTCCTTTCCACACATATATAAATTTTACGGAATTCTGCATCGGATTTCGCATCGTTGTTATCGGAATATTTTGTTGATCACGATGTTTTTCAATAATTCAAGATACTGGCAGCTGTCGTTCGTATCATATTGAATATTGACGAAAATGTCACAATTTTCCTCTTGTTAATTTATCGACATATTCCTTACGTATTAACGAATGACGTTTTCCATTTATTTTCCATAATTCCGATTCCGAAAAATTTATGAAGATTACCATAAAATGCTATTTTGGATGATGGATTTGGATGATAATTCGAATTTATTCCAATCCATTTCCATCAGTAAAATAAATTAAATCGAAATTAAAATTAATCTACTTGATAGAGATGAATCTTAGATATTCTTTGTGAAGATTGTAAATTCGCTTTCTGTTCCTGGACTGCACTAAAACTTTCCATCTCGCTTTTGTCAAATATTTCAAATATATATTTATTTCATTTTAAGTTTACATGTACAAAAGTGCTCACACTAGTTCAGCTAAAAAAACAGATTGTATATCTTTCATTGTATGTCTCCTCTAATATGGTTTTGGGTTCTGTTATTTTGTTATCGAGAGGGCGATAGTTACATAATCCACATTCCAATCTCGGGCGATAGAAATGTCTCTTTGAACGGAATCCTCATTCTTGGATGTGGTTTAACTGCCGATCGCCCGCTGTGGGCTTTCATGGAAGCAAGCTGAACGGACTCTTTGTTCGTTGTGTTCGAACGATCCGATTTTACGACATTATCGCGGAAAAGTATACGTATTGTGCGCCGCGACTTCGATGAGAATGCAATAAATCGAGATCGAAACCGAGTACGATATCTCGAAACCCTTGAAACCTAGTTGAAACTTTACACCAACGAATCGTCGGCGAATCTGTCGGCCTGAAGTCTGAATTACGCGATTATATTCCACGCGCCTTACGATCGGCGGACGTGAATCGGCGACGGAATTGTAAAGCCGTATTTACGATATGCGGATGCATAAATGTTAATTTTATTCACGGAGATAACGGATCGTTATATACGAGTAACTTTTTTTTTTCTTCCAACATAAAATTTCCTTCACGGTGCGTTTGGACTTTTATTCGCGTTAATTTATGTAATGGCATATTCATTTCCGCGTTGATATTACAACGGGAGAAATCACGGTGACACGGGATGACGTTATAAAATTAACTGGCGACATCAGTCACTTAAATAAAAAAACAAGTCCTTTAATACGCTTGACTCAGCCTCGGTACGGTTAACCCTCTCGTATATGCTGTTGATAAAACGAATTCATCTCAATTAACTGATTCAGCCAATCACGCGTCACGCGGGCTCGATGGAGTTACGAAAATGCCATTCATCCTCGTGCCTCTTTGTGTCTTTTGCTCTGGATGAGATAATGAAACGTTGGTCGGCGATAACGAGACAGATAAGGAACGTAGCGCATTCGATTAAGTCTTGCATGACGCACGCAATCATCGATTTATGTACGTGCCGTACGCGTTGCGTTGTCTTGACGATTCTGCGACCTTATCTTTTCGAGATTATTCAGGAAGTCTTGAACGAATAACGCACAATTCACGAAAATCTCTTTACTCGACGCGGAACTTGTGTTTATAATATTTTATTGCGTTTCAGGATGATTAGTACGTAACATTTTCTTAAATAAGATGATTAATCTTCTTCTAGGGTATCTTAGAGGCTACTTTCATTCCAAATTAATATAAATATTATTTATAGACTATGTTATCATTTCCTCGTGATATCTTTGTGGATGTTGCAGTGTGAATTCTCACTTTTCAAACTTTTACGTTTTAGAACGTGATACTTTTCCATCCGCATATCACGGAATTTAAATCTCGTAATGAATTATTTAATAATAAGTGTAATTATTTCTTGAAAAGTTTTTAATAATTTTGTAATAATCAATTCATATAAACGTTTCTTCAGCATTCTTTTGATGAAATAAAGCACCAGTTTTAATTTGTTTGACGCGACATAAGACGAAGATGATCTGAATCAAATTTACTCGTTTACCGAATCGAGTTGATAGTAAAATGTTGGCGCTGAATGTTGAATCGACTTTTTCTCGGTGATTCGTTTATCTTTATAATATTGGTGGCGATTCTTTTTAGAGAGAGACATCGAAGCGCACACGACGAGACCATGTAACATCTCGAATCTTGCCGTGCAGTGTGGTACGAATGAGAGGTGCGTAACCAGCAACGGCAAGCAGCAATGCAAATGTCAGCGAGATTTCCACTTTGTTAATAACGAATGCGTTAGGATTGCATCAACGGTGGCGAGCGTCGACGTTACCACTCTTAAACCAGACCAGAGATCCGAGTCGGAAGGAGGTACGTGCACGAAATGCGAGAAATTTGCATTAATGCATTGAATGCGTTGGAGTTTTTGGTCCTCATGTAGACTTTACGAAAAGAATTGGGGATATCCCCCCCCCTCCTTTTTTTAGCGGGGCTTCTTTATGCCTTATGATTTTGACAAAAGCGCATCTATCTATCACTTTTCGAAGATACCTTTTACCAATTATACGATATTTGAGATTTGATTCTCAAATCTCAGCTTATTTGAGAATTACGCTCGGTCTTATATATCGCTCCCGAACGTCTTAGCTCTCGTTTGATTAGATAACACCGTTTCACTTCCCTGTTACTCATTCACCGATATGATAAGGAACTGACAGGAAGAAAACAATCGATCCGTCAAAGCTAATAAAACAGAAGCGGTTTTACGACAACACCAATTGGCAATTAAAATTTCGATTAATTTCATTTAGGTAGCTCCGTAGCCGCCGGTCTACTAATACCCACCTTCCTCATAGTAGTCGGTGTACTGCTATATTTTGGCGCGAGACGATACAAATGGCTGCAACGATTTCGGCAGTACCGTCACAATCGTTACGGCAACGTCATAGTCACGAGAGACGACGACGACGACGACGACGATCCACCGATAGCGTAAAATGATAAATATAAGAGAGAATTATAGGAATGGGTAGGGCTCTCCGCGCGTGTACCAAATCCACTTGAACGAAAACGAAGTGAAGTTGAATAAGTGCGATATTTTCTTATCTGTTGATGTACGTTACAAGACTCTAATGTTATAAATTTCGATGGAAGGGACACACACACACACACACACAAATACATACATGTATATATATATATATATATATATATATATATGTGTGTATATACATCACACACGAGGAAGAATTCACAAAAATATATACATAGACGGTCGGTGAAACTTGTCTGATTTCTTAAAAATTGTCATCGCATAATTTCGTGCGAATATCAACAGAGAAATACAGCTACCAGGTGCACGAGAGGCGAAGGGCGGAAATGAATCACGAGGCCAAATGTAAAGACGCACTTGCGCGAGTAATTATGCTTTTATAATTAATCCGAAAATAAATAAATTGTCAAACAAGTCGACGACGGAAATATAGGAAAGTTATATAATTATAATTGTAAATAAATATTAAAATTATAACTATAAAATTATAATGATTTTATATATAGTCGCGTGTGATTGTGTAATTGTGATAATTACATACTCAGAGTTTCAAGAGATGGAATATTTTTCGGTGAAATTTTAGCGCATGCTTTATTCCTCGGGGATATATTATAAAAGCGTTATTGCTCTCCCGCTAGTTGCCGAATCTATATTAATATGTGATGGTTGTAAGAAGTATGGTATAATGGACTGCGTTTACGATAATTCACCGAGAGCATAATTTTTTTACATTGTGGCGGTCCCCCGCTCACACGACTAATACCTAGCAAAGCCACAACATGATATTAATAAGCTGGTCAGTAAATCTTACATAATATTAATATAGGTGTATCATAATTGGGTGATTGTTCTTTTATCACCATCCTCGCTATAGGTGAAATTTAGGAAAATTATATTAAATGTTGTGTCATTACCGTCATTATTGTGGATTATTCTCTATCTATTCTCTTTTATAATAATATTCAATGAAATAATGTCATTGGTATGCTGAAATTATCTCTTTTCCATTCTTTTTAAGTTACTTTAGTAAATACTGTTATTTTTAATTTCTACAAAGATTAGTAAATATAATTAAATTTAAGTATCGAGAGAAAGATATTGCACAATTTAAATATTTTTCAATTTTTACAGGGATCGCAATTGGCAATTTTTTTCCACGTCAGTTAATCGAATCATACGCCATTTGTCATCTTTCAAATTGATTTTTTATCCGAGGTGTTTTTTTTCTTTTTTTTCGTAATTTTTCTATTTATTTACGATCAAATACCAAATAAATCGAATTATAGATCCAAATTAGTACTTACTTGAACTGTAAGAAATTCGGAAGCGATTGCATTTATACCAAAAGAACGTCACGCTTTTGAATCACTTCACAAATATTTCTGTAACATAAAAAAATTTGTAAATACTCTTTGCTATTTCACGACTGCATATTCTTGCCAGCGACAACTTCTTCCTATAATCTAATCTAATTGTGATTGGAATATGTATTACCTATATATCATTTATGACAAATGCGAGTTTTACCTCGTGAAAGATTAATAAGGTAAGCCTTCGAGAATGATATATTATATACGTATCCTATTCTTGTACTCCATCATTTTTGTACAGAACCTGTGCACTAGAATCTAAAAAGAATTATAGCAACTATTCAGTGTATAGTAGTAACCTTGGTCGCCGTCTAGATTTCATATTTTTATAGTTTGCGGGTACAAATCTAAGGATGGCGAGTGGTACTGGCGAATTATTATTGCAATTTAATAATTTTAGTGACAGCGACAACTCACGTTCATCATTGATCCAAAGTATGACTAGTACTGTCTGCTCATTTGTTATTATTACGTCAGTGCATTTAAATGATTTGACTGAATACCCTGTTATTATTGCAGCCACGTTTATACAAAAGCCGTAGCCGGATATTTATTGAATATTGGTTCCTTGCCAGGAATGTGTTCAAATGTGTTTTTTTCTGTATCTATCTTTTTCCCCGGAAATCGGAAAACTAGATAGTTACATTGCAATGCAATTTATATCGCAACCGCGATTGCAATTTGTATACGCGTGGCTCCGTTAAGTTTTAAATCATATTTCTGTGATGTATTTTATGTTATATAACTGAATTTTTATTGTTGATTGATTGCATTTCCTCGGCACAATCTCGAACGAATCTAATCATAAAGTATTTTCCGTGTAAATATTACATACTGCTGCTGATACCAATGTTCGATACGTTTCTATTACTTTACATATAAAATGTTTCTGAAAGATTTGAATTTTACGACATTTTAGCATACTTTTAAGGACAAAAAAACTGTCTCTTATATTATATATATGGACATATTTGGAAAAATATTTTTTGTAATTTGAATTTACATTCAGTTACAACACAATTCTGTCTAGAAATTAAACTCACAATAATTATTTTAACGACAGATAATCTATCTTTACCTTTCAGAAATACTCTGTATATATTTTGCACTTCAACAGGCAGTGTAAACAAGCAGTATAATTTAAGGTCATTTGGAAAAAATTGTCGCTTTAAACTTTAGTACGAAATTCTCGGTTACTTTTACGATTATTGAATTTCTCAACTCTCTTGGTCTTGTAACGTTAATAAATTTTCTCATAGATATTTCGTTTTGTATTATTTATGTCGTTTGTATTGTAAACAATAAAGGTCTCCAAAAATTCTGCAATTGAATATTTACAGATGTTACTGCTATATTCTCGTATTACAGCCGTCAAGGTGTGAGGGGGAGCAATGAAATAACAAGTAAGTATATTTCCTCACTCTTTTATATATCGTACGTAAATATCGACATAGCTTTAAGACAAGATATACGCTCAGGAAGACTTATCCGCTAGTAATATCTATCAAATTCAACGATGGAACTTAATATATATATATATATATATATATATATATATATTATTTATTA